ACGCATTTCATGATGAGAGAGAGAGAGTGGCAGGTGGGATCCCTTGATAACCACTAGCATAATTTGACTATTGAGCAAAATAAGACCCAGATGTCATCGCAATTAATCAAGCATATTTGTTCATACTTGTGGGCCTCTTCAATAAGGCATACCCAAAAAAAATGAAAAGCCAATGAGTGCAGGAATATAGCACATAAGCTAGAGCTAGAAGTAAATAAGAAAAGAAAAGGAAAATCCTAGAAAGTTGAATCCCCGAATCAGATAATAAGTTGAACAATTATGGCACGTAACACATACATTTCTGGTATCACCGGAGTCACTAGTCTCCATGAAATATTTCTGTGCTTGTTGAATCACACTGCATGAAAATATTGCAATTAGATATCAAGAAAGCAACTGTCCACCAGGGTTACAAATTGGAGACTGTCAGCTGCATTAAAGAGCACAAATCAATACAACAACTATATATCATGGAAAGCTTATGGTTTATTGGTCAAATGAAACATCAAGAAATTAAAAAGACCAAGTATTGGTGATCAGAAACACAGTACTTATAATGTTCAGAAAAAATCTTCAAGTGGTCCAACAGTTATACTCTGCTATATTATTGTTCGCTGACAACCTAATCAAGCATTTTCAAGACTAAAATAGAAAACAGGCTGACCTTGATAAACAATAGGCAAATGCCAGAACAGTTGACAATGATCTTATAAAATCCAAAAGACGTTGCTTTACAATCTGGCTAGCTTCTGTAGGTAGAACAACTGGATCCAATGCCCTGCAAGAAAACCACTATGATCAGTACATTACCTAACTGGACTTCACATTAAAAATAAAAAAAATTATTATTTCTCCAATGTTCTGTTGTGAGGGAACTTCAGGGCCCATTTGGAACCTTTTTCATGTTTGGTTTCAGTTTTTATTTTTTGTTAGAAATAGCGGGAAAATATATGGGGGAAAGGACGGCGGTAGGAGAGAGGAGAGAGAAATGAAGGAGAACATATGAAACAAAAAATTGAAAAAGAAACTACTTAAAATTATATTAAATTTATAGTTTTCATTTTATATACCATTTCATATATAATTCTTCCACCTCCCTCCCGCCACCCTTCTTCATTCTTCCTTTCTCACATATATTTCTCTATCTCTAACCAAAAATGAAAACCAAAAACCAAAACCGAATTCACAAAGACCCTTAGTCACCTGTGCTTTATCTTTATGGGGTACATACACTAATGCCTTAAAACAGTTCTGGAATACATATGGTGCTGGAAGGAGAAGTTTGGTTGGTGAGGAAGTAGAGTGGTTTCAAGGCTGTTCCACCTTTATTATGATCACATAAATGAAGGAAAAGAAAATAGTCAAAATTTTAATGGTGTTGAGTTCTCTTTAATAACCCAAAGGTTCTAAACCCATTGTTTGACTGAATTTATCTGTTTTAGACAGTATTCCTTCCTTATCTTCTTCAGAGCTTTTAGATTTTCTCATTTTTATAACCGTAAATTTTGTTTTGGCAGAGGGACTTCCCATGAAGAAGATAAGACATAAAATTATATAATCCAGAAAAATACAACATAGAGAAACCTGCATATGAGTATTGCTCCCATCCATAGCAGCGTAGGTTGAATATACGAGGTTGTAACATAATGTGTATTACTCTTTTTCCAACTACCATCACTTTTCTGCAGGATAGTATGAAAAATTGGATAACATTATCAGGTGTTTGTCCAATTCAGAAACACAGGCAAAATGAACTGCACTGTATTATTTAAAGCAAAAAAGAACACACAAAAAGATAAACATACATGAAGAATCAGATTTCTGCTCAGGCGCATAAGTGGTGCCAGACCCCATATGGCAAAGATAATAATGCCAACTGATGGAATCAATTTGAATACAAGAGGACAACCTTGCAAAGCATTATATGACCTGCATAATAAAACGAATGACTGTTTATAAAATTTAGTAAAGAAGATTCCACAAATCACAAGTGTAGAGCACTAAAGATTACAGCATTTGACATCATGCACAACTGATAGAGACATGAAAGCCTGCATTTAAAATGCACCAGCTGAACAACAAAGAACACGAGAAACTATTAAGCAAGCAAAAACATCAAGATATCTGAACTCGATATCCTTCTACTTATCAGACTTTAGTATTCATATCTGAGTAGTTTTATTGCAATCGATCATCACTACTAGAGATTGAAATACTATTTTGAGCAGTCAGTTTGTTGCTTATAAGTACGTAGAGTCGAAACATATTAATGGCATGATACATCAAAACACCATTCTAGAAAATTATCCGGGTCATGCAAATACCTATGATCGGGGGAAAAAAGTATGCAAATTGATTTCCAAAATAAAATGATGCCGTGCTCATATATTGGTAAATGGTAATAGGGTTGCTTATGTTTAAACTCAAGCAGAAGTTATCAAATAATGTTTTCAAGACAAAATCAAAAGAATAACATAAGTAGAATGAAAGATTGAAAGGAAACTATAGAGTAAAGCCACAGAAGCTATCGTAATGCACAAACCATAGTCATGCATAAGTTACCATAGAATTTTAATATTAAAAAACCATAACTATACGGCACACATATGACATGTTCATACACACTTAAGCAAGAAACAAAAATTACCTTGTCAACACCATTGCAGCTGTCTTCAAGCCGTGTTGGTCGAATGGTTGGCCTGATGTTAGCGAAGAATGGCACTTAAATGCATGATAGCTGTGAGACACAGTATGTAAGGACCTGTATCCATTGTCTGATAAACGGATACCCCAAGAATCCTGCTTCTGAAACTGTAACACAGGAGATAAACTCAAAATCTTTGCTGAAAGTCTCTAAACTTCCAAAAGATGAGAGCATCACTAAAAGAGTATTCCTATATATACCACAGTGTGTTATCTTGCCACACAGTCTAGTAAGAGAATGTTTCCCTATATATACCATCTACAGTACTCCAGAAGAGTAACTCAGCCATCATTTCCCCATACAAAAAATTTACATATCCATCTGCTAAATGGGCGAGAAAACAAGTAATGGAATGAAGTACATCAGAATGGTCAAATTTTTTGATATATGTCAGGAAAACTAATAGAATGTAATGATAGCATGTGATCACTCTTCCTCTGTCCCAATTGGTCCTATCCATATTAGGGTCTAAAGTAATAAGTCATGAATCATACCGCAAATCGTGATGTAAGGGCAGTGCTTAATGAATATAACTTGTCCCTTCCTATTCCACTCTGTGAAGAATGAAATTACTTTAGGATAAAAAACAATCTCTGGATAATAGTGCAAAAGAAATTGAAAAAATAAAGTTTTATAGTACCTTATATTGTTCTCGTGACCTCTGATTCTTGCAAAGTCCCAGTTGATGGGACAATTGCAATGAACCAGCAAGAACCATTATTGGGTTGAAATCAGTGTTTTAAAAGCATGCCTTCGCGCGCGTCGGAGCGAGGCGGCAGGAAATCGCCCGAGGCGGTCAGCTGTTTCGCGAGTTGCACGTTTAGCGCGGGGAAGGCGTAAGGAGCGTTGCAAGGCGTGGCCAGGCGAGCCAGATCTGGACACTTCTGAACCGGAAGAAATTTTGCGAGTCTGCAAATTGGCTGCGGCTCTGCGAGGAAGACGACTCACGTGTTTGTATTTTAGGTTTATTGTTATGAAACGACGTCGTTTAGATTGCAGTGTTTTAACTTTAAATGAAACGACGTCATTTCACTTGGAGTGTTTTGAAAAATAAAAACGCAAGTTTCTGTGTTTTTTTTTCTTACCTTAATTGTAACTAGCCCCTTGTAAGCATGTGCCAATTGATTTTCTTTTTTCTTTTTTATTTTATTTTTAGAATTAAGAAAATACAACATGGGTAATTATGTTTCATAAAAGTATAACCTATTATCTGATTTTGTTTTTATTTTTATTTTCTTTTAATATGAACAAAATGTGAATTTACCATATTATCCTAATTTAATTATTAATTTCAATTCTTAATATTTGAATTAATCAAGGGTATTTTATGGTATTTTGAATGTTTCACCATTCTCTACCTTTTGCTTTATATATAGAAGATATATAGAAGAATATAAACTTAAGGCAAGAAGAATTAATATCTTTCTTGTGTTTCTCTACCTTGTCAACACCACACAGCTCAAAAACAGTCTTCAAAAGTCAATTGATATTTGATTAAGTGATCAAGTAGTCTTTCACAACGTTGCAACCCCAGAACCAGCTTAAGCTAGTCAAAGATTCTAACAAGGTCTGAAACAGGAAAAACATATCATCACATTCAAAGCTAAACACAAGAACACTTCTAAATAAAATAAACTCTAGTTAGTGCTCAAATATTAGTAATTTCTTGATGCACGTGTTAGCACATAATAGACAATATTAAAATGAAAACATGGTAGTTTACCAAAATTCATGACTGACCCATCAACTTTAGTAACATGTTTACTAAATAGTGTAGGGAAATCCATCCATACACATTCTATTTTACTCTTTAATCTTGTAATAACATATTTGGTTTATTTACAAGCCTTCATGTTACAATCGAAAACCTTGTCGTGGCTAATATTTGGTGGGTTTGCCCTTCTCAAAGCACCACCCTCTAACTTAAATCTCATCAACACCTCCTAGTGGATGCATTAATTTCTCTACCCACAAGAATGCTAAGAGCCCGTTCGGTAACGTTTTAAGGGGTTGTTTTCATTTTCAGAGAACAAAAATTAGGGAAAAACACGTTCGGTGGCCCAAAAATAGAAAACACTGAGAATATTTTCATAAAATGAAAACAAGTTCATGTGTGCTTGTAGAAAACAGAAAAAAGTTGTGTTTTCATTCTCATGGGAAAAGTTTTCATAAAAATAACTCACATATTATTATTTCAAACTATACTACCAGACACGTTTTCATTGTTTTTGTTTTCTGAAGATGTTTTCTAATTAATCTACGCATTTTCATTTCCTGAAAATGCAAATTTATTTTCTTGTTTTCATTCTATGAAAATATTCTAAGAAAACGTTACCAAACGGGCCCTTAACTTCTAATAATCAAATCAAACAATCAAATGAATTCATACGATAAATTTCAGTTCAAAAGTAACTCTCACTGTATAATTTCCACTGACCCAAACTCCAAATTTCCAATCCATATAAGGAGTTTGGCACAAGTTCTTGAATTACACGGTTATATAATTCTAATAAACAACAAAACATACAAAAAGGAAAGGAAAATCTGCAGGCGAGGATAACTAAAAATTCAAAATTATTAAGAGAAACCCTTCCTCCTCACTGGCATGATATACAGAAAGAATTTCAATACGCAAAATCACATTTCAACTCAATAAATTGAGACTCCGACATGAAGCTTCCCATGGCGTAAAGAATTAGCAAGAAATTTATGGCTTGAAAATT